ATGTTCTATTGGTTTTCCATTTTCATTTATACTCCGTTTTCCTTTTTTATTTACACGTGTATTTATTTTCCTTTATATGCATGCTGTATTCATTTTCCTCTTTCTAATTATACATTTAGCTTCCTTTTTATTCATACATATTTATTTTCCTTTTTATTTATACATTTATTTTTTTTCCGTTTGCCTTGTACATATTCATTTTCCTTTTTTTTTTTATTTGTGTCTGGTCTGTTTCATTCCCCTCCCCGCCTATTTATTTATGCCATTTCTCGTACCTGCTTCTGCTCGCCCAGAGTTCGGTGGAGTTTCTGGTGGGTTGTTCTGCACGCGCGCCTAACATTATGCATACATGCACGGGGATGCAAGCGCGCACGTTGGGGTTTGAGCTCGTTGCAGGTGAGGTCAGGCAAAGGTCACGCCCGCAGGAAGACAAGCAGGCAAGCAGGCAGGCAGGCAAGCAGGCAGAGAGGCAATTAAGCCCCCGATGTTCATTCGTTCGCCAGACTGACGGGGGTGGGCGGGCGTTGCGGGTCTACAAATGGGGCGGGGAGGGTGAGTGGGCGTGGCGATTATGGGGGGGGGGAGGTTGGAAGGGCTTGTGGGCGTCCGGGTAGGCGATGGGCGGTGCCGGTGCCCCTCCTGCCTCCTCCTGCCGGCACTGCGAATCTGCTGTCACGGGAGGTGTGGGACTGCACGGTGAGGATGAGGGATTGAAGCGAATGGGTGTGGATGAAGGAATGGATGAGCGAGGATGAGGCGAATAGGTGTGGATGAAGGCAATGGGTGCTGATGAAGTGGATGGGTGAGGATGAGGTGAATGGCTAAGGATGAAGCGAATGGGTGTGGATGAAGGGAATGGCGGAGGATGAAGCGAATGGGTGTGGATGAAGGGAATGGGTGAGGATGAGGCGAATGGGTGTGGATGAAGGGAATGGCGGATATGGGTGTGGATGAAGGGAATGAGGATGAAAGGGAATGGGCGGAGGATGAAGCGAATGGTGGGATGAAGGGAATGGCGGAGGATGAGCGAATGGGTGTGGAATGAAGGGATGGAGGATGAAGCGAAGATGAATGGCGGAGGATGAAGCGAATGGGTGCGGAATGGCGGAGGATGAAGCGAATGGTGTGGATGAAGGAATGGCGTGAGGATGAGGCGGATTGGGTGGATGAAGGGAATGGCGAGGAATTGAGGAAGCGAATGGGTGTGGATGAAGGGAATGGCGGAGGATGAAGCGAATGGGTGTGGATGAAGGGAAATGGCGGGGTGGGGAAGGCGGAGGATGGCGAATGGGTGTGGATGAAGGGAATGGCGGAGGATGAGGCGAATGGGTGTGGATGAAGGGAATGGCGGAGGATGAAGCGAATGGGTGTGGATGAAGGGAATGGCGGAGGATGAAGCGAATGGGTGTGGATGAAGGGAATGGCGGAGGATGAGCGAATGGGTGTGGATGAAGGGAATGGCGGGAGGATGAAGCGAATGGGTGTGGATGAAGGGAATGGCGGAGGATGAATGGGTGTGGATGAAGGGAATGGGTGAGGCATGATGGCGAGGATGAAGCGAATGGGTGTGGATGAAGGGAATGGCGGAGGATGAGGCGAATGGGTGTGGATGAAGGGAATGGGTGAGGATGAGGCGAATGGTGGGTGAAGGGAATTGAGGATGAAGGGAATGGCGGAGGATGAAGCGAATGGGTGTGGATGAAAGGGAATGGGTTGAGGATGAGGCGAAGGCTGGATGGACTGAATGGGTGTGGAATGAAGGAATGGGGAGGATGGAGGCGAATGGGTGTGGGATGAAGGGAATGGCGGAGGATGAAGCGAATGGGTGTGGATGAAGGGAATGGCGGAGGATGGGCGAATGGGTGTGGATGAAGGGAATGGCGGAGGATGGGCGAATGGGTGTGGATGAAAGGAATGGCGGAGGATGAGGCGGAGTGATGAAGAATGGCGATTGGTGTGGATGAAGGAATGGCGGAGGATGAGGCGAATGTGTGTGGATGAAGATATGAGGATGGCGAATGGGTGTGGATGAAGGGAATGGCGGGAGGATGAAGCGATGAGGTGTGGTGAAGGGAATGGCGTGATGAAGCGAATGGATGAAGGAATGGCGGAGGATGAAGCGAATGGGTGTGGATGAAGGGAATGGCGGAGGATGAGCGAATGGGTGGGATGAAGGAAAAGGCGGAGGATATGGGTGTGGATGAAGGGAAATGGCGGAGGGATGAGGCGAATGGGTGTGGATGAAGGATGGCGGAGGATGAAGCGAATGGTTGTGTGAAGAGAATGGCGGAGGATGAAGCGAATGGGTGTGGATGAAGGGAATGGCGGAGGATGAGGCGAATGGGTGTGGATGAAGGGAATGGCGGAGGATGAAGCGAATGGGTGTGGATGAAGCGAGTGGATGAGCATGTAGCGAATGGTGCGGATGAAGGCAATGGGTACTGATGAAGTGGATGGGGGGAGGTGAGTGAAACTGAGTGCAACGATGAGCAATGACCATGTAGTGAAGTGACTAAATGGTGTGTGGTCGTAGCGAGTGGATGGGTGAGGATGAAACGAGTATCCATGGATGAAGTGAATGGGTGTGGTCGTAGGAGAGGGGCGTGTCTCAAACGTATGTTTTGAAAGGGAAATGCAGAGAAAATTCCATACACTGAAAGACCAACGAAGACGCGCTTAAAACAGCAGGTTGTCAAAAGCGATCCGATGAAATGCACGAGAGAAGAATAGGATGGTTTGGGGACCGTGCACTGAGAAGGTGGAGTTTGAAAAAAAATAGTTTGAAACAAATAAAATCAGCTAAAAAAGAGAGCGATGAGGTGAAATTGAGAAAGGAAAGAGAAAGTATAGAGAGAGATAGGTAGAGGCGAGGAGAAGATGGGTGGAGGGAGAGAGAGATGGGTGGAGGGAGAGAGAGATAGGGGTGGGAGGGAGAGAGAGTAGTGGAGGAGAGAGAGATGGGTAGAGGGAGAGAGAGATGGGTAGAGAGAGAGAGGTGGAGAGAGAGAGAGAGAGAGGGAGAGAGAGATAGGTAGAGGGAGAGAGAGATAGGTAGAAGGAGAGAGAGAGAGATAGGTAGAGAGAGAGAGAGAGAGAGAGAGAGGTAGGTAGAGAGGTGAGTGAGTGAGTGACGTGAAGTGAGTGAGTGAGTGAGTGAGTGAGTGAGTGAGTGAGTGAGTGAGTGAGTGAGAGAGAGAGAAGAGAGAGAGAGAGAGAAGAGAGAGAAGAGAGAGAAGAGAGAGAGAGAGAGAGAGAGAGAGAGAGAGAGAGAGAGAGAGAGAGAGGGGACAAAGAAAAGAAAAAATCAACAGATAACTTTATTACGTGGCTACTCAAAAGATTCTCTCGGCTGGCCTGAACTCTCCCCGGCTGGGAAGAAAATGATTCAACTCATTTTCTCATTAATTGCCTTCTTGATAGGGAAATCTGAGGGGGAGGGGGAGAGGGAGGGGGGCGATGATTGCCCACGCCTGCCGGCATTTCACTGGATTGCGGAATTATTGATTGAGTGATTGATTTATTGATTGGGATGTGATTGATGGAGAGGTGGAATGGAGGGAGAGAGGATGGGGGAAGGGGGAAGGTGAAGGACGGAAGAAGTGGAGAGGGAAAGGGGGAGAAGGTGAAAGGGAGGAAGGAGGGGGAGGAGAAGGGGAATGGGGGAAGAAAGCAGGGTGAAGGGGGGGAGAAGTGGAGGGAGGAGAGGGGAAGGAGGGGGAGGAGAGGGGGAAGGGGGGAGAAAGGAAGGGAGGAGAGCGGGGAATGGGGGGAAGAAAGCAGGGGGAGGGGGAGAAGTGGAGGAGGAAAGTGAAGGAGGGAAGTGGATGGTTGGGGAGAGGAAGGGAAATGATAAGATAGATTAGATGAGGACCAGGTAAGAGAACGATAAGAGAAAGGAGGGGAAGAAGGAAAAAGAAAGTTGAAAGAAAAGGATAAGGGAAAAATAAGTTTCGAAAAGAAAAGAGGGAGTACAGGTAAAAGGGGAAGAAAAAGAAGGAAAGTTAAAAGAAAATATTAAGAGAGGAAGAAGAAAATAAGAAAAGAGAGTCCAGGGAGAAAGGAAAAGGGAGAAAAATCGTTCGCGGAGTTTAGGGGGGGGGGGAAGACGCGCAGGACATAATGGTGTTCTCTAATGGTGACTCCTGACGCCATTCTCCTCAAGGGAACGGGGGAGGCGGAGGTTGTTTCGATGGGGGGAGGGGGAGGAGAGTGGGGGAGCACACGACCAGGTTTTAGGGAGTCGGTGGTGGTAGGGAGAAGAGACGCTGTGGTGGTGGGAATGCCGTCAGGGGGAAGAGGTGTTGGCAGGGTTGGGGGTAGGGTTAGTGGTCGTATCTATGGTGGTAGCGGTCTTGATGGGTAGAAGTGGGGATGGGGGGAGGGGAGGAAACATCACTGGTGGTAATATGATGGTAAAGTGTTGGTGCTTGTGGTGGTAGGGAGCAGCAGCATCAGTGGAGGGAGCGGTATCAGAGATACTGCTGGTGGCGTTGGCAGGGTCGGTTCCGTTGTGGCAGCACAGGAGAGATGCTTGGTGTCGCTGGCGATGATGAATGGGCGGCGGGCGGGCGGGCGGGCGGGCGGGCGAGTGAATGGGGCGGAAGGGGGTAGTAGACGAGGGTATTAAGGGCTGACGGAATAGCGTACATATTTTTTTTTGGTGATTATGAATTTTTTATTATTATTTTCTTTTTTGTTTAAGGCGACGGGCGTTTTATTTTGTGATCATGTTTCTCCCTCTACGGCGAGTGAGTAGGATGGTAATTGTTGCATCGAGGAATTATGGGATGCGAGATATTTTGGTCGAGCGGGACAGGAAGATTAGGATAGCAGTCGCTCGTTCATTTATCACTTCCTCCCCCTCGCTTTCTCCCTTTCGCTTTTCCTCTCCCTCTCCCATCCCTCGCTTTCTCCCATGCCCTCTCCCTCTTCCTAGGGTGATTTTGGGATCCTCTCCCTCTCACTCTATCTCTTCGTACTCTCATCCTCTCCCTCTCCTCCCTCCTTTTCTCTCCCGCTTCTTCCTCTCCCTCCCCTTCCTTCTCCCTCCTTCCCTCTCTCGTTCCTCCCTCCCTCCCATTTTCTCTTCCTTTTTCCAAACTTTCCTTCCAGTATCCACAGAACCTGCAATAGAAAACCCTCAGTAAATTGCACCTTTTCATAGATACCACAAAAGGGCCGGATCTTGAAAGGTACGGTTTTGTTTATGTATGTTTTTTCTTCTTCACTTATCTGTCTATCTATCTATCTATCTATCTATCTGTGTGTGTTTATCTGTCTGCCTGTCTATTTGTCTGTGTCTATATCTATGTCTATCTATCTATCTATATGTCTATCTGTCTACATCTATATGTATCCAATTAATTAATTAGTTTGGCGTTTAATGTTTTTCTTTACTTTTGTTTTTCCTTTTCCATTGTTTTTCTTTATTCATTTATCATGTATTTTTTCATTCGTTCATGGCTTGGATTGCAATAAAAAATCACGTGATGCTGATTTCTTTTCTTTTTATACATGATTTCAGTGACAGATTTGCATTTTTCCAAATACATTTTTGTGCATATTTCAATAACGCCGGCTCGACCACGGTAACGAATTCTTGCATATTGCATTATAAAGGTTTGCAATCGCATTTCCTGGAAGCTTCTGACTTTTTTCAATGGTTTGTTGGTTTTGGAGGAATTTGGATGAATATTTTATGACGACTTGGTTCGGTATCATTAATTACTGAGGTTCTCGCGGTACTTACCGCCCTTTTTTATTTTTATTATTTTTATTTATTTATTTATTTATTATTATTTTTTTTTTTTTTTTACATTTTTCGTTTTTTTTTCTGCCTCCCCCCCCCCCACCTCTCTCTCTCTCTCCTCTCTCTCTCTCTCTCTCTCTCTCTCTCTCTCTCTCTCTCTCTCTCTCTCTCTCTCTCTCTCTCTCTCTCTCTCTCTCTCTCTCTCTCTCTCTCTCTCGCTCTCTCGCTCTCTCTTTCTCTGTCATTTCTTCCTTCCTTTCGACTCCCAACCCCCCCATTTTTTTCATTTTCTCTTTCTTTGCATTCCCTTCCATTTTGTAGCATCCTCTTTCCATTATTCCATGTTTTCTTATTGGATTTCTGGACATCGTCGCCGAATGTACTGGCGATGAGGGTGTGATGACTGTGCTGTGGGTGATGACGCGGTGTGGGGGGCAATTATAAGGTTATTCGGTTGTGCTTTATTTGATTGGATTTTTTTTTTTTTTTTTTTTTTGAGGGGGGGGAGGTGTATTTTCAGCGTGGTTGTCTGTCTGTATGTCTGTCGTTGTTATTGGTGGTGATGGTGTTTTGTCTTTTTCTGCTTGATCGGGTGCCTGTCTGCAGATCTGTGTGCTTTTGCTTGGGGTTGTATGCATAGGTTTGTGCATGGACGCGTTTGTACATGTGTAGCTGTGTGTGCTTGTGTATTGCGAGTTCATTCCTCATCGGATTTCCCAACACGTAGTGCATCGTCTGAAATGACAGACCCTTCCCTCACAGGCGAGAAAAAGAGTCAAAGTTGGTCCCATAGCGTATCCAAGTGGACGTTCCAAGTGGACTTTCCAAGTGGATTATCCAAGTGGGCGTTTCATGTTGGATGTTCATGCTAGGTGTTCTAAGTGGTTGATCCAAGTGGACGTTCCAAGTGGACTTTCCAAGTGGATTATCCAAGTGGGCGTTTCATGTTGGATGTTCATGCTAGGTGTTCTAAGTGGTTGATCCAAGTGGACTTTCCAAGTGTACTCTCCAAGTAGACATTCCCAGTGGGCGTTACAAGTGGACGTTTCAAGTAGACGTTATAAGTAGATGTTCCAAGTGGCCATGACAGGTGAAGGCCTCTTTTTCGCCAGTGAGCCACGCCACTTTTCACTGTCGAATGAAATGAACGAATGCTTTCCAACTGTTCGTGATGGCTTGGCCTCGTCGTTCTTCTCGAACTCCTTTGGGGAAGAAAGTGTGCTTGTTGTGTCGCTTGCTTTTGTTCTTGCTTGCGTTTGTTCTTGTTTTTTGCGGTCGGGAGAGCAAGGGGCGAAAAGAAATGGTTATTGGAGAAAGTGTGATTTTTTTCCTGTTTGGGTTAATGTTTATTTAGATTTCTCTTTCCTTTTTTTCCATTAGCTGACTGACTGGTTTATTTATGGTTTGATTAGTTTTTTTTTTATGAACTCTTTAACCCCCCCCCCCTCTTCTCATTTTCTTTCTATTTCTCTGCTATTTTCGTTCTTCATTTCGTCTTTTGGCCCACGGCGGAAGGGCGGAGAGAGAGTGAGGCATTGTTGACAAAGCTTATTGCAATGCGAATAATAATCAACACCCAAGTTTTATTTAGATATATGAATCCCTGATTAAAAAATACGTTGATTGTACAGTGTTTATGAGATGTTTAACCGTGCAGAATCCTGTTTTGCATTGAAAGTCATCCCGGTCGGTTGGATGGCAGCTTGAGTTCACTAGTGCATTGTTGCAGCGAACCCCGTAATCAACAGGTA